ATGCTCGGCCGGGCTAGGGCTAATTTGATTTGTTCAATTAGTCTGTCGTCATAAATCGGAAATCGAGATATAGTACAAAGAGAATGATTAGAAATCATATCTCATACGATATCTAGAATGGAGGAATATATGATCCCTTATCTAAGGACACGAGTATCTGATAGGATCAGAGTTGACAGCGGCTTTGGAAAGCTACGATTGCAGATCAGGATCTGAAGTCATACGCAGAATAGTTGTTAGACTTATCCAAGTGGGTGACTGTTGGATTAGTGTCTAAGTCCATAACTATTTTGGTATGTACTTGACCCGATGGTGCATGGTCCTTTTGGGTTGCCTTCACCAAAGCAACTTGATAGGATGATTTATGGAGAGTAAGGATTAAATATGATTTATTAATGTATTACGAGAATAATATATTAAAGGAGAAATCATATTGTTTAATTAATATTAGTCAATAATTAATTGGTAATTAGTTTTGTGACTAAAAGAGATTAATTAAACTTAAGGGACTGGAATTGTAATTATAAGATAATTGCAATTTGGTCCATGGGCTTAATTAAAGGAGTCTATGGGTTGCTTAGGGCTTAAGCATCCAAATTAGGGTTTCCTTGTTAGATAACCCTAATAGCCCAACTATATAAAGACCCCTTAAGGCTCAAAAACGTGGCTAAGCTTCTTGTAAGGGTTTACACACGTTTTTGGCAGCCTCCAACCTCTCTCCTCTTCATCCTCTTGCTTATGGTGTTTGTGAACCATTAGAGGAGTGACACTTGTGACTCTAAGCCTTCCAAAGTCAATTCAAGGAGATTTGTGATTGTTATTGCTACATAACAATCAAGGTAATACTATAAACTTATTCTCATGTTAATATGATTATATGTATGCTAGAATTAGGGTTTATAGTCTTGGATTCAAAGCATGTACAATAGAGAAACCTAGATCCAAGCATTAGGGTTTGTATGAGCACATAGGATGTCTTATGACCAAAACCCATCAAAACCAACTACCTATAAATTAAAAACTAAACCCTAAAATCCTAAACTTTTTATCATCTGCCAAAATTATCTCATCTCGCAACCCTCACGATCGACCCTCAAGATCGACCACAACAACAACCGCACAGACGACGCTTCGATGGTCGTTGCTTGATTGGAGAAAGAGAAAGTACGAGGGTGAGGCCAGAAGAGGGTTTCTTTGTTTCCAGTGGGTGCAGCGGTGAGACGCGAGGCCATAAGGGGGATTTCTAGGACATGTCAATCGATTGGAGTAAGTCAAATGGTGGTGAAATCGTGAGGAGTGGAAGTTGTGGTGGTCGAAGGAAGTGACGGTGGGGTGTTTTAACCATGGCAGTGGGCGGCGAGGGAATAGCGAATGTGAGAGGTCATTGTGAAGACGTCAATGGAAGCAAGGCAAACGATTTCTCTCCAGCGGTTGCCTACACCGGTATATGTCTCAGTGGATAAAAAGATATTTACAAGAATTTTCAATTTACCTTTTGTTAAAATCAGAAGCTGTTGTTGTTTGTTTACAATAAAAATGTTTTGATTTTATATTAAATGTGTTATAGTTGGATTAGCTGACAATTAATCAGCTATTAAGAGTATACATTTTTCAATGTTTGAAATCTATAGATATCAATGGTGTAAATTGTAAAGATCAAAATTAAATTTGTGAAGACCAAAACTAAATTTGTAAATATGGAGTTTGAATTTGTTATAATATATATAATATATGTTGTGATATTAATGAGGTTCAATTTAAAAAAAAAAAAAGATTCTTAGATTATTTAAAATAAAATTTGATATTAACAAATTATAGTGTTCAATGACTTTTATTTTTTACAAAAAAGATGAAAAATATTAAAGTTTCAAAACATAAAAAAGTTGAAAATATTAAATTTTCAAAGTCAAATAGTTTAATTTCCCAGGTATTGAAAAAAACATCAGTTTGACTAAAAAAATCCTATAAGAAAATCTGGGATCTAAATAGTATAATCAAAAATAAAAAAGTAAATGGTTATTTGTACAAGTAGAAAGTAATAATCGTGCACACAATTTCCAAGATTTAATTTTTTTTTTAAATTAGATTGGTTTGCGAAAAGTATAGGATAGACCGGTGTGTCAAAAAAAAAATACGCTAGATGTATTTATAGATGGTGAATGTGATTTTTTTAATTTTGAATTTTAAAACTCTAACAGTTAGCTTAAAGAAAAAAAAAAGTTAGTTGAATTTGAATTGTAAAGAGTGGTTACATAAAATTTGAATATACAGGTTAAAAAGGTAAATTTTTATTAAAAAAAATTGCAAAATAATTGTTGGCTCCTCTCCCTCCTCAGGCACATTTATGCCGTCGAGCCATGCTACCCTTGACATGCCACCGTCGAGGGATGTTGTATGTTGAGCCCGCCGAGTAAAATGCCGACCATAGCCTAAAGAAAAGCCAAACCATGAATATGATTATCAACCAAATAGACCAAAATATGCAATCCCCGAAACCAATTTAATGTTCAAAACACTTTTCACAATTGTTTTAAGTTATGTATATCAACTGTACATTTGAATTTAAACTAGACATATATACCTTGGATATTTACTTGTGGTGTTATTTTGCAGAGATCTTTTTGCAAACTATTTTAAGAGATTTTATAAGGTTTTTTATGTTAGTTAATTATTTGTATATAATTTCATAATTAAGACAGCCAAAAACTTCAAATGACCGTACAATTTTAGTTTTGACTTTATTTCATGATTTTCTATACATTTCGTGAAACACTCATTTGTTTTGCAAATTGATTACTATGTAGTTGTTGATATTATGAGATCATTTAACGAAATCATTTACGACTTGACAAACTAGTATGTAATATTCAAATTTGTCAATTCAGACTTTCTTTCTTGTTTGTTTAGTGAGAAAGAGAAAGACAACAAACAGCTTAAAATATCTAAAGAAATAGGTAGATAAATTGAGAAATCAAAAGAATTTAATGTTGCGATAGTATACCAACAAACAAATTATCAGGAAAAATACAGCATTAATATGATGAAAGAGATGACACTTACAAAGGATCTTCGATAACCACAATTTTCCTATGATGAAAACATATAGGAGAAATTAAATATTTTCTTATATTTTTTCCTAGTCATTTTCCGATCCATCTTAAATGCCAGTATGTATCATATTTAATAAAATTAATAATATTTTAATCCATTTATCACTATTTAACATGGATATGTAGAAAAAAATATATATAAAGATATTTAATTTCTCAAAAATTAATATCAAATAACGACACGAAGTCAAAAGAGTATTTTAAAAGGTATCGATGATTTTGGTTTCAAATATTATATATGCATTATGGCTATTAATATTAAACGTTACTTTTTAAAAATAACTCTTTATTCTCTATAGACAAAACTGCAAATTTGGTCCTTGTAGTTTGCAAAAAACTTTGGATTGTGTTCAAAAAGTTTTCAGCTTGCGCAGAATGTCCAAAATCAATGTTTTTCTGGGTTTTTGGTCCAAAAAAAATTGAAATTACCAATTTACCCTTTTAGTTTCAGTTTTGTATTTTTTTTTTCTTATTTAATTTAATAATTTATGAAAAAATAAAAAACAAAAAAGATAGACACCCTCTCTCTCTCTCTCTACAAAACCCATCTTCATCGTTCTTAATTTTAGAAAAATTGAATATCACCATTACCATCTGAACAATATGAAGATCTGGGAACTAGATGAAGATGAAGAAATCACGGGAAAGATGAAAATGAAGATCTTGTGTTCATCTCATAGCTAATACAAAAATCCAGAAGGGATAGAAATTGATTTCTTACCTTCAAACAAAAACAGGCACATGCACTCCAAAAATCAATAACCCTTTCAAATTCTCTCAAAATTTCATCTGTTTCTTCAATCTCTCTTCCAATAAGATCAAAAATTTCATCTGAAAGAGCAATAGATGATAAAAAAAAATCATAAGCACCCATCTTGGGTTTACTCTGTTGTTCACCAACAGGAGGGAACTCACATACATTGTGTGTCTGTATTTGTGTGTGTGATAAAGATAACAAAAAGACGAATGATGGGATTAAGAAATGGCTAACACCACTCTCGCATCACTGCTCCCCAATTGCTAACCAGATCGATTTCCTAAAATTGATCTTTGTTTGGATCGATCATGAAGAGGTTGAGCAAAGGGGATAAGTCATTTCAAGATCTGGGTTTATTCCTCCATTGCAAGAACTCATATAGAGGATCAATGATGGTTTCGTTGGGGTTGTTGACGGAGAAATCATGGAGATTGGGTTTCTATTTATGGTCTCAGGCGTTGTGAAGGATGCAGTCGAATGTAGCTTGATCTATAGGTGATTCTGAAATGTCGATTGGGTGGTTGAGGGTGATGATTTACAGATGACGGTGGTTATGTAGCAGATGAGATTGAGAAGAAGATCTGAGTATTGTGTTGGGAGAAAAATTTGTATATGTGTGTGTGTGAGAGAGAGAGAGAGAGAATATGGGATGTTATTTTTTTAAAATAAAAAAGTATTAAAATACGGACGTGTTTGACTTAGCTTTTAAAAGCTTAAAAGTTCTTTTCCAAAAAGTTACAAAAAGTCAGGGAATCCTGACTTTTCCAAAAAGTTGATTTTCCTTGTATTAAAACTCCGAAAGTTACTAGTTTGCCAAACATCTTTTTGTTTTTTTTTTTTTTTACAAAAAAAACTTTTGGCTGTGAAAAGTTAAGTCAAACACCCCCTGCATATAAAAAATACAAAAAAAAAGGCAAAACCATCATTTCAGGTGTTCCAAATATCAAAACCACAAAAAAGTTTTGATTTTGGACCTTCCATGCAAATCGAAACCTTTTTGGATCCTATCCAAAGTTTTTTACAAACCACAAGGACCAAATTTACAGTTTTGCCTTCTCTATAAGTCGTACACTATAGTTGTGTTTTCAAATCATAGAGCACTTTACTACCAATTTGTTTGTTAATCTACAAGTTTGTTCTCTTATATGTTTTATGATCTAATTTTATTAAATACTACGATTTTAGACACTACGAGTGCTTGATAAAAAAAAATATATAAAAAATAAAAACCTAAAATGACAATCATATATATAGCCATCACTAGTTAAAAATTCCAAGTTTGATGAATACATGCATCTTACTATCTTAGCAAAAAGTCAAAGCTTCTTCCATCATCATATTTTCAGAAATACTCCATATGAACACCAATTGCAGTTAGAAAATCACCATTCCTGCCTTGAAAACCAACCACCTTCCCTGGAGATGATGATGATGTAAAATAAACATACCCTTCTCCACTTTCTTGTCCATAAGGCCCATACATCTTCTTGTTTGTGTGAATAGTAATGGAGGTTATCCCTTCCAATCCATCCAACTCCACAACAGGTCCATAAAACCCTGATATCCCAGTCAAATACTCCTTCTCACCATCCAAATCAACCTGTCAAGAATCAAGATCATGGTTCTCCAGTCAGCCTACACTAATCATGACAATCATGAATTGCAAAAAGAAAGAAAAAAATGTATATTTATGCACATTACCAGTTCTGTTTTATCCCCACATGTTCCTCCATGCATTTGTGACAAAATGGAATTACCATCTCTTTTAACATATTCAAATTGGATACCATAAATCACCTTCAAAGACTCTCCTAAATAAACACGTATTTGTTTGACATGTGAGAAAACTCCATCATCCCACGGCTTACCTCCAGCAGCCCCCCAAGGTCCTGCCTCCCTTGGCATTCCTACTCCAGACATCTCACAACACAACTGCAGTGAAATGAAATTACTTAGTCACAGATATATGTAAGCGTATTTAAACACTAAAAAGTAAAAACATAAAAGAAATGACAACAAATGAATTTTGGAGACCATGGAATGAACCTCATGCATGGAATTGGAATTGTTTTTGGGAGCAGAGTTTGGAGATAATGATGGTGATAGTGATTTAGGAATCACATAAATCCCAATAGCATTAATGTATTGGCCAAAACGTCCATAAAATCCAATTATCATCCCATCTTTACCATCATATGAGAAAGGGGTGCCCTTATCAGAATTACCATACGGACCATAACGAATCTGATTTGTATGAAAGCTTAAAGACATCAGCATAGGAGGAGAATAAGAACCTCCAGAATTATCAATTGTCCCATTTATTGAAGTCAAATATTCATTTGGGTAGTCAATGCAAATCTGCAGAAGAATTGAAAAAAGTATCACATCTCATGAAGCAAACACATGTGTTCGATGACATCAAGGGGTCTTAACTCTTACAGATAGCATCACTTACCGTGTCAGTTTTCTTGCCACCATTGCCACCGAAAATGGAGGTTTGAGTTTCACCTGTTTGAGTATGACAATCGCTTTGAAATCTAATGCGATCAATAAACCCTGCATGTACGATTGTAATCTTTTTAATATAGCCTTCTTCAGGCATGTAAACCCAATATTCACCCTGTGAACTACCCCATGGTCCATGCTTTATGCATCCTTCTATTCTGTCTGTAGTTGTACCTCCCTATAAACCATATAGTCATAGTAGTAGCTTAATAACATGAAATAAGTGCAGAACAAACCGAATTGAAAGTTTGAAAGCATACCATCTGGTTACCGAGATCTATGTATGTATGTCGAAATCCACTACCTCCAACAATCAGTCAAAGTGAATCTAAGCAGCAAGAGAACATTAATAATGATGATTTGTCGAAAAATCATACGTAGAAAGTTATGGAATTGTAGTAGTAAAATAAGCCATTAGCATAATACACAATAAACTCCAACTAGGTTAGAAGGTGATTACTCGTTAAATGAAAAGAACGACTCCGTGAGTTGATCGATGGACAACAATGCTAACTGGCATTTTCTGATTTTCCGTTTCCATCATATATAATGTGAATGTTTAGCCAGCTTTCAGATTTCAAATGCGCATTTGTTTACCTACTAAAAAAAACGTAATCATTAATCAGACAGGTTGAAAGGATAAACCCTAATTACCTTTTGCAGTTGTATGCTCCGGTTGGCGGACGCAATGCTTAGAAAAGGGGGGAGGTGCAAATTCCCAATGATGTGAAAATTTATATAGGCAACAACACCAAAAAAAAATATAAACCTTCCAAAAATTTATATTTAAATATTTTGCTGAAGTAACCCTCTTTGAAAAACTTTTTTTTTTTTTTTTTTTTTTTTTTTTTTTTTTTTTTTTTTTCTAAAATCCCCGATTTCATTACTTTTTTTTTTTTCTTAAAAAGTCCATTTTTTCAATACATTTAAGTTTTTTATTTTTATTTAATATTTAATGTCGGATAGACCTCGTTAATGCACCCATGATGAAAATTCTTAGACTTGCCACCATATACACTGAAAATCGAATAAAAAAAGGATCGAAATATATAAAGTTTCGTTATTGTGTAACAAAAATTATATTGGCCCAGTCTCCATATTTTTAATCGTTATTGCACCCATGATGAAAATTCTTAGACTTGCCACCATATATATTGAAAATCGAATGGAAGAAATGGGGAAAAAAAACCTAGTGTGTACAACGTAGTGAAGTTGATCCGTAATATCAACATCAGAAAAATGCAATTAGAATTGATGAACTAAGGCCCCAATACATATTTGTCATCATTCTCCCCCGTTGATTAATTAGGATCATCTAGTGATTCTCTGTTGCATCCATCTTGAAAACAAAAAGACTAGACAAATTGCAAAGGTTATATAATGTATTGTAACAAGCGCAATTAGGAGTGAGCATTTGGATTTGTGGACCGGACCGGATCGAACCGCACCGTTTTTTTGGACCTTCTAGCCGGTTCTCGGATCTAGGATTTGAGCACAACCGGTCCGGTTCGGCCGATTCCGGATAAAACCCAGTTTTGGACCGGCTTAGTATTCAGTGAAATTGTTTAAACAAGCATATATCATTCGTTTTAAGTCGGATTAACTTGCGGCTTTATCCAATATGTAATTTAGAGTTTGTAAATGATTTTAGACTATAATTTTATTGTTTTTGGTGATATATTCGATCAGTTACAATCCTTCAAAGATGAGATATCAAAGCTGAAATATTTCTGTAACGTCTAGTTCGTGGTACGCATTTAACTCATTTATTTATTTATTTATTTTGAAAAGGGACTCGACAAGTTGGTGGCCCTAACTTATCGAGTAGAGGGCAGACTATGTGTGGGGTTTGAACTATCTACTCGACGAGTCAAGAGCCCTCGACTCGACAAGTAGCTCGGCCATAGTGAAATCCTAATTTCGAGGTTTTGCACCCTACTTAAGCTCCTTAACCCCCACCCCTTTGGCCTCATTTCTAGCCTCCTTATCCCAAACCCTAATCCACAAAACCCTAGAGTTTTCTTGAGAGTGTGAGCTATTTTGAGTGATCTTGGTGTGCTTTTGAAGCTTGTAGAAGAAGAAGAAGAAGATAGAGGGCTCAAGAAAGGAAGAGTAGATCTAGGAACTACACTCTATTTGCTGCATTATCTAGTAATCAAGCTTCTATATTGGCTATTAGTTCATTAAATTTCTTTATGACCTCTTTATGTGGGTTTTTTGTCAAAGAATGATAGCTTTTGGAGAATGATTGACCCAAGAGGGTAATCTTCCAGATATAAGACCTTAAAGGGGCTGGTGTGGCATAAAGGTGCAAACTTTATGCCATTAGAGTCCCCATGCAAGCTTTAAGGACGTTATTATGGCCTTTTGAGCCCAAAAAGCCATGCATGGAAGCAAGTTCGAGACTTTACAAGTTCAACTGGTATCTAGGACCTAGATCTAGGTTTTCATGTTTTGGTTTGGGATATTAAGGCTTTTTGGACAAAGATCTATGTCCTAAAAGAATTAGGGTTTTAGCTAAACCCTTTAAGAAGAGGTTTCAATGGGTATAATTTGAAACTTTGCCTTAAAAATATCATTTCTAGTGAACAAACGAAGTATGAACTTTGGATCTAGAGAATAAGGGCTTAATCTGTTAAGATAGTTAAACAAACACAGTGTGACATCCCCAAAATCACGGCCAAAAAAGACCGATTTTGTTTATGCTTTATAAAAATCAGAGTACTTCATTTTATAAAAAGGTTGCGGAATTTGTTCCCAGAAAAACACGATAAATACGTTATTAAAACATTTTCGAAGAAACGTATTTTTATTCATCTTAAAACGTTTGGGATGTCATCGTTAATACAGAAACATAAGCATAAATAGAACTTACATTTATTTACACTAGTGATCTACATCTCTTTAAATCTCTCAGTGTAAAATGACTTCATATCAACACCTGTGATATACATAAACTGAGTGGGTTAGGTTGGGAAACCTGGTGAGTACATAGGGCTTTCAACCCACAATAATATAATTGTTATGTTTAATCATCAAACAATTAACCCCATTACCCATCCCCGTTATCTTCTTTACTCTTAAGGATTTAACCTAAGAGTCGTCTATCCTGCATTTGTTTATTCCGAAGTCCCTTACTTCCAGGGTTATAGGACTGGCACTAAATCCATAGCTGCCGATGTTAGTTCGTAAAGCACTAATTCCATAGCTGCTATATCCTACTCATCGGGTACTAAATCCATAGCTGCCGATGTTAGTTCGTAAAGCACTAATTCCATAGCTGCTATATCCTACTCATCGGGTACTAAATCCATAGCTACCAGCGTTCAACAGGTACTAAGTCCATAGCTACCAACGTCTGACATGTACTAAGTCTATAGCTACCGGTGTTTGTCCCATAGGCACTAAGTCTATAGCTGCCAATGTATACTCACGTCATCTTCTATCTCTCATCATCTTTCTACCCATTATCATACCCCACATATTCGTATATATAAAATACGTATACAATTTAAATCCTTTAAAACATGTATAAAACGTTCATCCAACATAGACAGCAAGTATTCAGATAATATGCACACATAGCACGTAGTTTATATTAAATACTTCATATCTATGTGTAAGATGAAAGGGACTATGCACTCACCTGATTAGGTGGTGATTCCGAACTCAGACAGCACTTCGTTATCTCAAAACAATTTTCCTCGACAAAACCTAGTATCAATACCACTAGGGTTTAGTTTTTAACGTTAACCACGACTAATTAATAGTCTAGCTATTATTACTATTATATAAGCGTTAAATAACACTCAATATAACTCATAATAATAGCCCAAATAGTTATTTTAAGGTCCTAATAATGTTACTATAATTAAATAAAATCTATATTAAATATAGTATAGGCGTAGCTCACTTACAACGAGTTTTTATTAAAAATCGGGCTTCGCTGGAGCAGCGTTTCCAAGCCGAAAGCTTTTCTTCTCGGAGCCGTCGGGCGCTCCGGGGCTTTCTTCTCGTTCTAGGGAGGTTCCGTAGACTTGGGAGGGGTTTAGGGAGGCTAGAGAGAAGTTAGAGAGAGAAAGAGAGGCTTATGGTGTGAAGAAAATATGAGGAGTTCACCCTTGTATTTATAGGAGTTTTATAGTAAAGTAGTCTCTAAGCTTCATCCGTAACTTTTGCATACGAGCTCCGTTTTTGTCTGTCTTTTTACCGTTGAGTTCCTATTAATGAGATCTTCAACTTTCATTTAGACCTCGTTGGCTAATTCTCATTCTATCTCGGATTTACAAAACTGTATCGAATTCGCCGCGCTCGAAAAGTAGGGACTAAGCTTCGTCCATAACTTTCGCATACGAGCTCCATTTTTGTCTGTCTTTTTACCGTTGAGTTCCTATTAATGAGATCTTCAACTCTCATTTAGACCTCGTTGGCTAATTCTCATTCTATCTCGGATTTACAAAACTGTATCGAATTCGCCGCGCTCGAAAAGTAGCGACTAAGCTTCGTCTATATCTATCTCATACTATCTCCGTTTTCGACGTTCTTTATATCCATGCGTAGGTAAAAATAATATCTACAACTTTCATTTTGGCTCCGTCGGCTAATTCTCGACCGATCATAAATTTAACAGTAGGAGGCGTTTAGACTGTTAAATGACCGTGAAGAATTCGTAACTCTTTCATACGAACTCCGTTTTCGTCCATCTTTTTACTGTTGAGTTCCTATTATTGAGAGCTTTAACTCTCATTTAGGTCGCGTAAGCCAAAAACCGCTCGAACTAAAATTCGAGTTTCGGGTTGTACACTACTAAGCTGAAACTTTGAAAAATCATAACTTCCTCATACGAAGTCAGATTTGGGCGTTCTTTTTACGGATTTTCTCATTTTAACATACTCTACGACTTTGGTTTAGATAACTAAGGCTAAAAAGTCTTCTATCATAAATTCACTTTTTACGCTTCCCGGTGTCGTGCCGGTTTTGCCATAAAACTTCGACAAGCCATAACTTCTTCGTTATAACTCAGATTTCGGCGTTCTTTATATGTACAGAAACCTTGTGACATATACTATAGCTTGGTTAAAATTATTTATTCTAAATAATCTTTTGCCGAAAAGTCATTTTCGACCCATATTGCCTCTAAATTGACTTGCCCGGATCTACGGGCGTTACACACAGGGACTCGTCGAGTCCATAAGGGAACTCGGTGAGTCGGATCGTGTTGTCCCGTTCCAATTTAAGGTATTACGCGATGAGTTTGTAGAGGGACTCAACGAGTTGATTCGCTAAGCTGCGACTATGAGCAGCTCGATAGGACTCGATGAGTCGGAAGAACGACTCGGCGAGTTGGGTCGTGATTCAAGGATTTCTGAGTTAAAGAGCTCAGCGAGTCGATAGGTTGACTCGACAAGTTGGTCAACCCAGAATGTTAAATTTAACAAGAGCGTTGACTTTTACCAATGGGTAAAATGGTCATTTTATCCTTAGAAGGGTTTTCAGTTTTTGACTAAATGTTTTTGTGAATTTATAGCTGGTGAGTCGTTGGAGCAACCATCGGAGATTTCTCATTTAAGATATCAGCAGCTTGTTTGAGATGTGAGTTTTCCTCCAGTAGGAACGGGTCGAAAGGCACCAATGCCGACCCATTTATGTATGTTAGCATATACCAGACTTAGGTCTGATATCGGGGTTAGCACGATGTAGTTTGTATGTTTATTTGTTTTA